AACCTGCTCGGGTAAATACGCGCCTTCATCAATAATTTCTCAAAGCGTTTCAGGAAATTCCCGGGCAGCTATCGTATCTGCACTCGCTGCCTTGTCACTTACTTTTACCTTGTGAAGTTGGCTCCAGCCTTGAACCGATGAAACCAGCCGTGGCTGGCATTAGAAGATGTGCCCTCTGATTCTTCACCATGTTTCCTCTTCAAGGCTTTTGGCTTTCTCTTGAATCAGCATTAAACTGAGCGGGACTCGACACTGATGCTGATCTGTCATCCACATACTGAGAAGTTTCTGCATCTCCTCCATCACTTTTCCACGCTTCTTTGATATTACTGTCAACATCATTGGCACAGCAGACTTCACATGTTCCACGATCTTGTCCTTCTTCTTTAGGATCGTGCTGGTGGTTAACGATTCTTGTTATGAGAACGAGCGACGTCTGCCATCTTTTCGCCTCGCTCCGCTCTCTCAATTATTTTCACTTTTGTCTCCACTATTATTGCTTGGCACTTCTTAGCAGTACCAGCTATATCACCGCTGCTTTTATTCTTGCTTCTGGACATCCTGAGCTTGAAATAAAGATACTGTACTAGTGTACTCTATACGGTACAGTACACCAAAGCACAACCACTTGTAGAGGATGCACGCACATGGCAATGTACGCCAGACACGTGAACTAACAGACTTGACTGGACATGTGCACGCACGTTCCCATCTTTGAAAGTTCGCAACTTGAAGGTTCATACGTAGGGACTTACTGTACACGCTACTATATTTAAAATACATAACCAACAAGGACCTACTGTACAGCACAGGGAGCTCCCATTAACATTCTCTAATAACCTAAATGAAAAAAGAATTTGAAAAAGAGTTCATACATGTATAACTAAATCACCTCATCGTACACCTGAAAATAACACAACATTGTTAATCAACTATACTCCAATATAAAATAAAAATTAAAAACAAAAAACAAAAAGGGACTTACCTGGTGATCCAGTGGGAAAGACTCTGAGCTCCCAATGCAGGGCACCCTGGTTTGATCCCTGAACAGGGAACTAGATCCTACATGCATGCCAAAACTAAGAAGCCTGCAGGCCACAACTAAGAAGCCCACATGTCAAAACTTAGAAGCCTGTATGCCACAACAAAGACCTGGCACAGCCAGAACAAATAAATAAAAAATAATAATAAATAAATTTTAAAAAATTAAAACAAAAACAAAAAGAACAAATGGTACCTCACTGAACTCAAAAGCTTCTGCAAGCAAAGGAAACCATAAGCAAAATGACAAGACAACCCACAGAATGGGAGAAAGTATTTGCAAACGACGTGACCAACAAAAGATTAATCTCCAAAATTTACAAACAGGTCGTGTAGCTCAATATCGAAAAAACAAACAACCCAATAAAAAAATGGGCAAAGACCTAAATACACTTTCCTCCAAAGAAGACATATAGACGTCCACAGGCACGTGAAAAAAGGCTCAACATCGCTAATTCTTAGAGAAATGCAAATTGAAACTACAATGAGATATCACCTCATACCAGTCGGAATGGCCATCATCAAAAACTCTACAAACCATAAATACTGGAGAGGGCGTGGAGAAAAGGGAACCCTCCTACACTGCTGGTGGGAATGTAAATTGGTACAACCACTATGGAGAACAGTATGGAGGTTCCTTAAAAAACTAAAAATAGAATTACCATATGACCCAGCAATCTCACTCCTGGTCATGTATCTGGAGAAAACCACGGTTTGAAAGGATACATGCACCCCAACGTTCACTGCAGTGCTGCTTACAATAGCCCAGACATGTCAGCCACCCAAATGTCCATCAACATACAAATGCATGAAGATGATGTGGTACATATACACAACGGAGTATTACTCAGCCATTAAGAAGAATGAAATAATGCCATTTGCAGCAACACAGACAGACCTGGAGATTATCATACTAAATGAAATAAGCCAGAAAGGGAAATACAAATACCATATGAGTTATACGTGGAATCTAAAATATGGCACAAACGAACCTACCTACAAAACAGAAACAGACTCACAGACATAAGAGATCATACTTGTGGTTGCCAAGGGGGAGGGCGGTGGGGGAGACGGATGAAATCGGAGTTTGAGGTTAGCAGATGTAAACTATTATATAGAGAATGGATAAACAGTAAGGTCCTACTATACAGCACAGTGAACTATATTCAATATCCTGGGATAAAGCATAATTGAAAAGAATATAAAAAATGAGTGTATGTGTATAAATGAGTCACTTTGCTGTACAGCAGTGACACAACACTGTAAAGCAAATATACTTCAATAAAAATAAAAAATTTTTTAAAAATCTTGAAAAATCTAGTCCATTTCCAGCAAAAATCAAATTTCTAAGGAAAATAAGGGAATATTTAAAGCTTCTATTATGGGAAAAAATGCACTATGGAAATGTCTGTCTTGCCACAAATAAATGATCTGATGTACCACGCTTTAGGAAAAAAAGAAAAAAAAAGGAATGTATATATGCGTACATATGTGAGTCACTTTGCTGTACAGCAGAGATTAGCACAACATTGTAAATCACCCATGCTAGCACAGGGAGATTACCTCGGTGCTTTGTGACCACCTAGAGGGGTGGGATAGGGAGGGTGGGAGGGAGATGCAAGAGGGAGGAGATATGGGGATATATGTATATGTATTGCTAATTCACTTTGTTATACAGCAGAAAGTAACACACCATTGTAAAACAATTCTACTCCAATAAAGATGTTAAAAAAAATCACCTATGCTTCAATTAAAAAAATTAAAAAATAAAAAAAGAATGAAATAATGCCATTTGTAGCAACATGGATGAACCTGGTGATTAACATACTAAGCAAAGTAAGCCAGACAGAGAAAGACAGATATCATATGATATCACTTATATGAGGAATCTAAAAAAAGAGAGAAATGAACTTATTTACAAAACAGAAACAGACTCACAGACTTAGAAAACAAACTTATGGTTACTAAAGGGGAGAAATAGAGAGAAGGGATAAATTTGGAGTTTGGAATTGACATATACATACTACCATATCTAAAAACAGATACCCAACAAGCACCTACTGTATAGCACATGGAACTCTGCTCAATATCCTAGTAATCTAAATGGGAGAAGAATTTGAAAAAGAATAGATACATGTATACGTATAACTGAATCACTTTTCTGTACACCTGGAATTAACACAACATTGTTTTGTTTTGTTTATTTATTTATTTGGCTGCGTTGGGTCTTTCTTACTGCGCACCGGCTTCTCATTGCAGTGGTTTCTCTTGTTGCAGAGCACGGGCTCTAGGCGCGTGGGCTTCAGTAGTTGTGGCCCGCAGGCTCAGTAGTTGTGGTTTGTGGGCTCTAGAATGCAGGCTCAGTAGTTGTGGCACACAGGCTTAGGTGCTCCGCGGCATGTGGGATCTTCCCGGACCAGGGCTCGAACCCGTGTCCCCTGCACTGGCAGGCGGATTCTTAACCACTGCGCCACCAGCAAAGTCCCAAACACAACATTGTTAATCAACTATACTCCAATATAAAATAAAACTTAAAAACAAAAATAAACAAACGGGACCTCTTTAAACTCAAAAGCTTTTGCACAGCAAAGAAAACCATATACAAAATGAAAAAACAACCCACAGGATGGGAGGAAATATGTGCAAATGATGTGACCAACAAAAAATTAATCTCCCAAATTTAGAAAGATCTCATGCAGGTCAATATCAAAAAAAAAAAAAAACCATCAAAAACCAGACAGGAGACCTAAATAGCCTTTCTTCCAAAGAAAACATACACACGTCCACAGGCACATGAGAAGATGCTCAGCATCTCTAATCATGAGAGAAATGCAAATCAAAACTACAATGAGGTATTACCTCACACCAGTCAGAATGGCCACCATCAAAAAACCTACAAACAATAAATACTAAACAATAAAGACGGTGTGGAGAAAAGGGAACCCTCTTGCACTGCTGGTGGGAATGTAAATTGATACAGCCACTATGGAGAACAGTGTGGAGGTTCCTCAGAAAACTAAAAATAGCATTACCACATGATCCAGCAATTCCACTCCCGGGCATCTACCAGGACAAAACTTAATTCGAAAAGATCCATGCACCCCAATGTTCACTGCAGCCCTGTTTACAATAGCCCAGACATGGAAGCCACCTAAGTGTCCATCGACGGAGGAATGGATAAAGAAGATGTGGTACATGTACACAATGGAATATTACTCAGCCATTAAAAAAAGAAAGAAAGGATGCCACTTGGAGCAACATGGATGGACCTGGAGATTATCATACTAAGTGAGGTAAGTGAGACAGAGAAAGACAAACACATGATAACATTTATATGCGGAATCTTAAAAAAATGATACAAATGAACTTATTTACAAAACGTAAACAGACTCACAGACTTAGAAAACAAACTTACGGTGACCAAAGGGGAAAGGTGGAGGAGGAGGGATAAGCTGGTAGTTTGGGGTTGACATATACATACTATGATATTTAAAACAGATAACTGGGGGGGGAGGGAAAAAAAGATAATCAATAAGGACCTACTGTACAACACAGGGGACTCTGCTCACTATTCTGTAATAACCAAAGTGGGAAAAGAATTTGAAAAAGAACAGATACATGCATATGTACCTGAATCACTTTGCTGAACACCTGAAACTACCACAACACTGTTAATCAACTATACTGCAAAATAAAACTAGAATTAAAATTAAAAAGTTTGTGGAAATATCTTAAAATCAAAACCTGAACTAGAATTTGTACACACACCCCGAACGACCATTACTAACAGTGGTCCGCGGCCTCCCGCAGCTGAGGCTGGGAAGCATGCATTGATTTCACCTGATGAGCGACGCCGCGTCCCTGGAAGGACCGCTTGCCTCCACCCGCGGGAGGGCGACCCCAGCCCCCACGGCCCGCCCCCACCACCACCACACCCCGCTCCCCCTCCACGTCCTCACCCACGTCCATCCACTCGGGGGCGAGCAGCCGACACTTCTGTCTCTGTTTCAGGTTGATCGCCAGCCACAGAGGCACCTGCACTGGTAAGCCGGGGTTGAAAGGCCCCAGGTCGCCCTGCAAGCAAACACACACAAACACCGTCCCTCAAAACCGCATCGCTGGACCTCTGCTGTCCACGGGCTGAAGCCCGAGCGCGCTCTCGGCCCCACCGCGCCCCACCGCTCCTCCGCGCTGGGTCCCGAACGCCGCCAGACGACACCTGTGGGCGCTGGACCCGCCGCCCAGCCCCCCTCCCGGAAGCGGGAACCGACCAGGGAGAGCCGGAGGCCCGGCGGGTCTCACCCCGATGAGGTAGATCTTGTCCAGACTGAAGTTCGGGATAATGGTGACCAGCTCCTTCTCGGCCAGGAACTCCACCTCGGCCGCGTCCATGGTGGGGCCTGCGGCTAGCCCGGGACTCGCCGCCGCCTCCGGCCCCTCAGCGTCCGGGAAGACGCGCTGCAGCCGCCGCTTTCCCGCCACCGAGCAATGCCCAGCCTCTGGCCGGAAAGTGCCTCGGCCGGCCTATAGAAACGCGGCGTTCTCCGCGGGGCGGCGGAAGGCGGGGACCGCGGATGCTACGAGCCCGCGGATTGGCGAGCCTGAACGAGGCTGCGAGCGGACCCCGCCCCTCTCGTGGGCAGGCCCCGCCCCCTCCCGTGGGCAGCGCGCCCGGCGCCGCCGGCCCACCTGCACCTAGTACGGCCTTCCGTGTCCCTTCACCTGCCCCGGGCGCCTGCCCAACAACACTGCGAGTCAAACTGCGGGTGGGCTTCGGGGCCAGGAGTAAATGCATGTCACGGCTTGACCTGGCTACAAAGACGCGGCCCCGGGCCGCTGTACACGGGGTTAATATCTATAAAAATGAAGATTCCTGGGAATTCCCTGGCGGTCCAGTAGTTAGGACTCCGCGCTTCGGGCCCGGGTTGATCCCTGGTTGGGGAACTAAGATCCCACAAGCAGCGCGGTGCGGCCAAAGGAAAAAAAAACCCGCAGATTCCTCCACCGCACCCACATATTCCAATTCGGAAACCGCGGGGAATTGGCTCACAATTTGCACTTTGGCAGACTCCCCAGGTGAGACTTGTGAAGGGGCAAGTTTGCCCGACTGGGGCAAATAACGTATTGATTGATGAGCTCATCTGTTGGCCAGTCCGGGTGCCCTCTATACCGTGGGCTCATGTGAACCTTTACAACAGGGGTTCTAAGACCCTCCTCTGTCAGCATCCCCTGGGAGATTCCGAATGTTCACACACACCTGCAGACTTGTGATTCAGGGGTCTGGGTGAGGACAGAGTGTTGATTTTAATCAGGGATTTTGATGGGGTGATAATAGGCCAAGAAAACTTCCCGGGAGGTGAAGCAGCTAGAAGAAAACTGGGGTGGGGTGGGGTTGGGGGGTCAGGAAGGGGCGGGGGGCGGTTGAGTTCAACACCATGATCATTAGGCTCTAAGAAAAAACATGTGACAGGAGGATTTCAGGGTTCTAGATCCCAGCAGGAAAGCTGCCTCACCCCAGAAAACGGCACGCTTTCCTCTCTAACCACCCTGAAACCTGCCCCATGTCAGGTTGTCGGGAAGAGGAAATAAGGCCATACTTCAGTTCTGCTCACTCGCATGGCCTGGAAAGGTTGTCTGTTGTTTATCTGCATTGGAAGCTGTCATTGCAGGCCTGGAGATTTCCTTCATTGTGTCATTTATGAAGACAAATACTTTCAAAGAAAATAAAAGATCCCTCGGGATGCTGTGTGAGAGCACGTGACCACTCTGAACTTCAGTCTCTCCATCTGCAAGCGGGGTAGGAGGAGGAGTACCCGGGGGGTTGGGGGGGAGGGGAAGCTGTGGGCCACCTGGCCCCTCCTAAAATAGAAGCTCCCTCAGTCATCTGCAGAGAGTGTGTGCCAGCCTGTCTGGGTTTTGACTGATGGGGGAATGTTTTCCTGACTGGCAAACATCTGCGTTTCAAATTTGGTGAGGCTTCCCTCGCTGATTTTCGCAAAAATTTTTGCAAAAGAGCAAAGGAAAAAAGCTGGCTGGAAAGCCGAGGTTCAGAGAGGCCTCAGCAGAATGGGCAGGAGAGCTAGCAGAGCCCAGTACCTTGGTGTCCTTATGGGTAAGGTGGGGACAGTGCCGCTGCTTACCTTGCAGGGCTGTTGGGAGAACGAGACAAGGGGGCTGCAGCTTTACACACTGCAAAACGGTGGCGTCCTGGAATCGCAAACTTGAGCAGAGACACCAAGGTCCTTAGGGGGCTTATTAAAGCAGCACAAATCACAATAGCCAGCAGGTGGAAATACCAAATGTCCATCAGCTGAGGGTTGGATAAACAACATGTGGTCCATACTTATTACAGAATATTATTCGGCCACAGACAGGAATGAAGCGCTGGTTCATGCTACGATGTGGAGGACCCTTGAAAACGTTATACTACATGAAAGAGGCCAGACGCAAAAACCATGTATGATTCCATTTACATGAACTGTGCAGAAGAGGTAAATCCATAGAGACAGGAACTAGATTAGTGGTTACCAGGGTTGAGGGAGAGGGGGATGGAGTTTCTTTTGAGGTTGATGGAAATGTTCTGGAATTAGACAGTGGCGGTGCTTGTTCAACTCTAAACATACTAAAAACTGCTGACCGAGCCCGAGCTGTAAACGTTGAAAGGGTGAATTTTACGATATGTGAATTACTCCTCAAGAAAACTGTGATTTAAATGCCCCTCCCTAAGCTCCAGACCCAGGCTTTCTGACTCAGTAATCACACACTTTACACGCTCCCCAGGAAGTTCTTATAATTGCAAAACTGGGAAGGGAAGTGATTTGTCCAATCCAGTCCGGCTCTGAGCCGCTCCCAGGATCCAGAGAGGACTCCTGAGAGCCCATCCTCAGGACTGGCCTCTGAAAGTCGGGGAAAGAGAGAGGGAAACAGACAAGAGGAAAAGTCAAGCGGGAGGGAGGTTGGGGCGCTACTTTAGACGGGGTAGTCGGGGCGCTTGCACCATTATCTCCTGTTGTGAACAGTGCCTCCCCAGGAAGCTAGGTGACCCCTGTGGTAAGGAATTAAGAGGTGGGGACAAAATAAATTGGGAGGAAGGGGCACATCTCCTGGGCAGAATTCCAGATGGTGTAGATAAAGCTCATCACTCCTGAAGTATGGGCCGCCCATGGCCACTTCCTTCTAAAGAAAACAGGATAGAAACAGGGAAAAACAGAGAAACCTGACCAACAAGCCCTCAGCCAAGTGATCAAGATCAACATGAGGGCTTCCCTGGTGGCACAGTGGTTGAGAGCCCGCCTGCCGGTGCAGGGGACATGGGTTCGTGCCCCGGTCCGGGAAGATCCCACATGCCGCGGAGCGGCGGGGCCCGTGAGCCATGGCCGCTGAGCCTGCGCGTCCGGAGCCTGTGCTCCGCAACGGGAGAGGCCGCAGCAGTGAGAGGCCCGCGTACTGGAAAAAAAAAAAACAAAAAAAACATAAAATTAAAAAGTCTCCCCTCCAGGTTCCTCCGGGGCACCTAACCAAATGTCCCCCTCAGCGTCGTCAGCACTGCAATACCTTTTGGTCACATTTGAATTTAGGCCACAGAACAGTGCTCCCCAAATGAGTCAGCAGCCCGGCCTTCTGATTTTAAAGCAGTGGATCTTTCTGAAATGCTGGAAATGTCCCGTAGCTGTCCGATCCAGGACAGTAGCCGCTAGCCCCACGTAGAAACTGGGCACTTTCGGGGGACTGGCGTCCTCTGAAGGGGCGGGGCCCCGGACACGGGGCCGGTCGCCCACCAATGCACCTCGATGATCGTGGGGTTGAGCACATTGGGAAGGGCCCGTGGTCCCCCTGCACAGAGCATCTGCGTTCAGTCCCAGGTCAGTCTACCTCAGAGGTCTGAACCTCTGCCACGGGGGAGCGATATTCTTACAGCGAGGAGACAGTGGTCCAGGAAAACAAAGAATTAATTACAGCGAAGAATCGAGGAGGTGGGCGAGACCTTCCAGGGACTCTCGGCCCTGCGTGTGCAGGAGAATCTGCCGGATCCCCGGCCACACCTGGACGGAGGGAATCGGAACCTCCGGGTGGGGCTCAGGCCTCGGCCGCGGCTGGGAGGCCAGCCACTCTCCTGTGGTCTCCAGGGGACTTGAGGGGAAGCAGTGACTTGCCGCTGATGGTACCTCCCATCTAAAGAGGGGGCTAGAATTACAGTCACAGCAGCCAAAGGGAAATGCAGAATGGAAAACACCTCCTCCGGAAAGTCTCCCTTCCTGGCCCCAGCTGAAAGGGGCAATGCGGTGGTACCTACCGAGCAGGGCCCTGATCATAGCACAAGGCTGCTTCCCTACCTGGGCTCCCACCAGAGAGTACGGCTCCTTCTGGGACGTGGACACCGCCTGCCTCTCTGAGGTCTCCGAGGCAAGGCGACAGCATGAACCCCGCAGGCCTGACCTCACCTGCTGTTTCTGGCCCTTGGCGGCTCCCATTGGTGGGGGCCCAGCCACTTCAACGGGTACCCGTTCCATCCTTCATCTCCTAGAGCCCTTGAGCCCTTGAGAGGTGGGCCGGGACCGACACAGGTGAGTCCTCAGCTGTGTCTGATGCAGCCCTGTAGACAGCGGGGGCTCCTGCACGCAGCGGCAGTGTTGTTTCTTCTCACGACAGCCCTCAAGGTGTTCTCTCTGTTGAGTGCGGTGACAAGTGCAGCAGGAAAGACAGGCGGCGCCAGTTCTCCAGGGCTGCTGTGTAAGCTGCTACCAGAACCTGGACCAGATCCCGCGCCCAGTGGCAGGCTGTGTGAGGGATGCAGGTCGGGGAGTGACATGTGCCGATTTGCAGTTTAGAAAGAGAACTGTGGGGGATGCAGTGGGGGTGGGACTCGGTCTGGCAGCAGGAGACTCACCTGGAGGCTGGGAGCAGACGTCTAGCAGAGCTGTGGCACCTAGGGCACAGCCATGGGGATCTAGAGGAGGGACGGTCTGAAACCAGAGCCCATGGACTGTCTGCCAGTGTCCAGAAAAGCCAGGTCCGGGGACGCCTCCGGACCCCACCCAGGTGACCACAGCTACCGTACAGCCTGGCAGTGTCCCCGCCGCCAGCCCCACCCCTGAGCCTGCGAGTCCCTCCCTGCCGCTCCCCGGCCACCAGGGTCTGGCGAGGGAGCCATCCCGCCAGTCGCACGGTGCACATCACGGCTGAGCCAGGGGCTCTCAAATGCCTCCGACATGGTGCGAATACACTCTTGTGTCTTTTTGCCATCTGCCGCTGTCATTAAAAACTTACATTTCCATCTGTTTTCACACTTTTCTCGCCTCCCAGCTTCCCTTCCCGGAGGCATGTAGCACGAATCCCACGCCGAGGACCCGAACGTTCCCTCGCCTCTTGGAATCTGGGAGCTTCTCCGCGACGCACGGGGGTTAGGGGTAACGGCCTTTGTGGGTGACCAGAGCTGTTAATTCCTCTTAGGTCGCCACTGACAGTGACCTCTGCCCCTCCCCCCACTCCTCCACACACACTTTGCGGGGAGCCACTTACAAAACTTTTGTTGGTTGTTTTCATCTGTATGTGTGGCTTTGGCATTAAAAATACATGAAAAGGGGCTTCCCTGGTGGCGCAGTGGTTGAGAGTCCGCCTGCCGATGCAGGGGACACGGGTTCGTGCCCCGGTCGGGGAAGATCCCACATGCCGCAGAGCGGCTGAGCCCGTGAGCCATGGCCAATGAGCCTGCGCGTCCGGAGCCTGTGCTCCGCAACGGGAGAGGCCACAACAGTGAAAGGCCCACGTACCAGAAAAAAAAATACATGAAAAATAAACTGCAGGGCTTCCCTGGTGGCGCAGTGGTTGAGAGTCCGCCTGCCGATGCAGGGGACACGGGTTCGTGCCCCGGTCCTGGAAGATCCCACATGCCGCGGAGCGGC